GAAATTGATTGATAATATAATAGTTACACTTTCAGAAATTGAACAATGTTAGCAAAAGACTCGATCTATCATGAACTGTGAAGGAAGTGAGAATAGTAGAAGTATCGGATATCGAGATGCGGTGCACGTTAACTGTCGTCTCATTGGGAGTGCTTCTGGTCACAAGTGCTCACGGAGAGAATACAGCCAAGAACGTTTTTGGTAAGAAAGAGAAAAAAGATAAATTTATAATAATTCAAATTTTTCCAATAATTTTCTAATTATATATTTTCTATAATGCAATGAATTTAATGATAATAATAATAACAAGTGCAGTAATAAAAAAAAATTTTTTTTATTATACAATAAGATTCTACATAACAAAGATCTCCTGGATAATAATAAATATATCATACATATATACTGCATATATTTATAATAATAACGAATGATGAAGAATAAATTTGTAACAATTTAATTAATATAATAAAAAAAATAAAAAATAATAATCATTATATTAATATTCATTATATGAAATGAAATAAATATATCATTTAATTTTTTTCGAATTGCGACCAATTGCGCTTATTGAATAATAAGCGAATAAAATCTTAATGTATATAAAAATAATATCGAAGAAACAGATTGAAAACATATAGCATTATTATTTTACAGGTCAGTGTATCTTCCCGCTTGGTATGGAGGAAGGAAAAATTCCAGATGATGCGATCACCGCTTCTTCTAGTTATGAAACAAAATCAGTGGGTCCTCAAAATGCACGGTAAATTCTTTCGAAATATTGTTTGATTACATAGAGTGTTTTTATTTATATATGATATAATCGGTTAAAGAGTAATTTTTCATAAAAAAATAAGTTGAAAAATTTTTAAATTTGATTTATTCAAAAATGAATCTTCAAATGAAAAAATAATATTTTTTCTCTTTGTTTTTATAAGAAATCACACTATCAAAATAGAATACACAGTATAATTAGAATTTGAATTATATAATTATTCGATTTTTAATCCATTTTCTTTTTTTTTTTTTTGAATAAAAAAAAAGAAAGAATAAAAAAAATAATTATATTTTGATATTAATATTATTATATAAATGGTAAAATATGCATCTTAATATTATATATTTATACATATATTATTAACTTATATATTTTTAACTTACGTAATTTTTATTTTTGTAAAGTGTTACCAATACAATGCGAAATAAAAACTATCTTTGACGATTAAAATTACCGTGATTTATCAACGACTGTATTTCTTCTTTTTGTACATTTACAGAATACGACAGGAGAAAAATGGGGGTGCTTGGTGTCCGAAAGCGCAAATTAGCAGCGCGATACGGGAATATTTGGAAATTGACCTAACGAGAGATCATCTAATAGCGTGGACAGAAACTCAAGGACGGTTTGGTAATGGTCAAGGCCAGGAATATGCAGAAGCCTTTTTCCTCGAATACTGGCGCGACACAAAATGGCATCAGTATAAAAATTTGAAGGGTGACAGAGTTCGTGTCTGTAATAAATCGATCGAAAGTCGTCTGCATTGCTTCGATTAACTTTCGTTGTCAAACATATATGTACACATGCATATACACATATTTATATACATTTCCCGATAAAAGAATTAAAAATTGAGTAATTTCTCGAGAGCAAAGCAAGACGTCTTATTGATGATTATTAATATGAAGAAACTATTGTTACATACCTATTTGTACATTGATAAATCAATCGTTTATTTCAGGTATTACGCGGCAATAGCAACACTTATTTGGTTGAAAAGCAAAAATTGGATTTGCCATTCGTCGCGAGCAAAGTTCGATTCGTACCTTACAGTCAACATCCACGGACGGTTTGTATGCGAGTTGAAATTTACGGATGCATATGGGAGCGTAAGCATTTCTATCATACATTTTATTTACAAGAGATAATATTATAGCAAATATTATTACGCATATATCACGTACACGATGCGGTTTTTCCCCAGAGTATGTCGCGAGTTACAGCATGGTCAAAGGATCAATTCTTGGTCCCAGAGGGAGAAATATCGAAGATTCATCGTATGATGGTATTGAAATTGACTCTCTTCTTGTAAACGGCCTTGGTCAACTAACGGACGGTATATTAGGTGAAGTTTCCGAAATTCTCACTTCTTCAACAAATGGTACAAACTGGGTAGGCTGGTCAGACCGCACCACTGTCCAGATTATTTTTTCTTTTCAAGAGTTACGAGAATTCGAAAATTGTTCTGTACATGTCGCGCGTATACCGGAACTAGAAATTGAGGTTCGTCATTCTCTTACTACATATATATATATATACACTTATACATTTTTTTAAAATTATTAATTTCTAATTTTTTTCAGATGTTTTCGCTAATACATATTTGGTTTTCCTCTGACGGAGAAAACTATGAATCGGAAGCAGAAAAATTGGTGGGCTTGATTGATGCTAGTTCGTCTATTGCCGAAACAATTTCGATTCCTTTGCAATCTAGAATAGGACGATTTGTAAAAATGGAATTCGATCTTGCTGCGAAATGGTTGCTGCTTAGCGAAATCACCTTCCACACCGGTAAAGAATTTATGCTAAATCCGTTTAGATTTATATAACAATGCTATTCAATAGTTATACGTATGGACAATATAATGAGTAATAAAAAACAGACAACGTAATAAAATTACTTGTCTCAATAATAAAGATTTTTTATAACAAATATAATAACTAATGTAACTAAAATAATGGTATATAATTTATTAATATTTAATGTTTAATAAATAATTAATTAAAAAATAAACAAAATTTATTATTAGATCAAAAGATATAATAATTTAAATGAAAATAAAATAATTAATTTTATAATGAATTAAAAATTAAAAAATTTAATAATAAATAATTGTAATATTTATAAAAATAAAAAATAAAGAAATTAATAATAATTATAAAATATTAAAATTAATATAGCAACATAATAATTTACAATAATTGTAAAATTAATAAATATAATTATCAATTATTATTACTTATAAAACTTAAAAATAAAGAAATTCTATTTATTTATATTTTGTTTTTGCGAAATATATTTAAAAATGTTTTGTGTTTAAAAAAAATAAAAAAAATATAACGCGAACATAGTAATCTCCATAGCTTTGCTCACAAGCATTACGTGCAAGCAATTAAATAGCAATTAAACATTAAGCAATTACTTCAAACGGCAAATTGAATAACATTAACATAAAAGTAATTACTTTCAAGAAAAAAGAGAATGTTAAACGCTGTTGTTTATTGATCAATAAATAACTCATTAATATTTTATTAATTACAGGTAGTAAGAGCAGATCAAATGATTTGAATATTTTAAGCGATCGATCATTCGAAATGGATCAAAATCGAAGCGAATTACGAATAAAATCTAGCAACTCCTTGGATTCAATAATATTAGGTTTTAATGTAACAACACTTTATGAAATTCATGAAAACAATTCGACACCAGATGCCTTTCCTGTTGGTACTTCCCAAACATATATTGGACTTGTTAGTGGTTTACTGACAGTGTTTGCTCTTTTTCTAACTTGTACAGCATTCTTGATCAAACAAAGAGGTCGTAACAAAGTAGCTTTGTTACAAAAGCATACAGCTCTACTCTGTGATTCATCTACACCGGGTATTGCGATCTCTCCGAAGGATGTTAAACTTTCAAATTCGATCGTAACTGGATTATCATTGATTCGTAAACCTATCATTATTGCCGCCTCTGATAACTTGCCTGCTCGATCAAATACAGATTTACGAAGAGATTCCCAAAGTAGCGTAGCCGAAAATAATCGCAATTCAACTTTGTACGAAAGAACGTACAATCTGTTCTCTGAAGAAAATCTCATAGTTACGAAATCAAATGTATCCGCACGTATACCTGAATCATGTTCTGGTGAGTTTGATGAATATTTAAATGATAATCATTTATTTGTTTTCGTATCAGACGTTACGAATTTTTCTCGGCTCTAACTAATTAACTAATTTTCTCTGATACTATTAGTATCAAAAAATGTAATATGTATTTGAATTTATAAACTCGGATTGAATGAAAAATTTACTTTGTATTTCAAACAAATATCTAAACAATAGAAAAGTATCGAAATCTTGTTCGATTCCAGCCGAATTTTTCCGATCCATTCTGAAGTTCAAACTTCCAAAATTCAAACAAGATTACACATCGGTAACATATTCATGATCAAGAAAATACAAAAGAATTATAGAGATACGTATATACATATAATATAAAAGAAATAGTTTTGCAAATTAAGAAAATAGTAGTGCAGATTATGAATTTGTTATCCTCTTTAATTATTATTACATTATATTATTATATTTATATGTTAAACTCAATTTTTTTTCTATTCAATGTATCTTAGATTTTAAATGCAACTCGAGCTTTATGACAAGCAAGTCTACGGAAATTATAGTACCAACTACAACATATTCGTCGAAAAAGATATTTTATTCACAATCAGGAAAATTAAATCAAAGAAATTATGAAGGATATTATGCAGCAACGGATATTTTAACGGTAAGACAATGAATAAAATATATATAATTTAAAATATATATTAAAAGTATGATATGTTTATAGAAGAAAAAAGAAACTTCATCAACTTCGAGTCCATTCACACCGCTTCAAATTCGTGAAAAAGGCCTATGCTTATTACATACCATTGAATCCTATAATGTCCAGCGTATTTCTAGACACAGATTACGGATTTTAGATAAGCTTGGAGAAGGAAATTTCGGTTTGGTAAGAATGAATAATATTAATAAATATAAAATATAATTGATAAATATAAAATTAAAATAATTAAAAACACATTTGGCTATATAGGTCCACTTATGTGAGGCAAAAGGAATTACCAATCCGGAGATAGAAGCGATTCAAAATCGACAAACTGTAATCGTTAGATCTCTTTGGCGGGGAGTTGTAGATTCCTTAAGGTATATTAATTCCAAAATATAATTGCATTTCTGTTAAAAATATTTGTGTATATTTAGATTGGATTTCACGAAAGATATGCACGTTTTGGCAATGCTTCAAAATTCGAACATAGCGAAGATGATAGCTTTAGTAGAAGAAGAACCATTCGGAGCTATATTCGAATACGGTCAATTTGGGGATCTTCCTACTTTTTTAGAAAATCGTGAAAATTTGGACAACAAAGAAGATATTAGGTGAAAAAAATACCTTAATGATGTATTAAGATGTCATTTCTTCGTATCTCAATTCATGTCCATTCTTCGCAGCTATGGCAGCCGTTTAAGTTTTATTATCCAAATTGCATCTGGTATGAAATACCTGGAATCCATGAACATTGCACATTGTGATTTAGCGGCTAGGTAAGAATATTTGTAAAAAATAAAATAAAAGAAAATAAATCAATTTAACATCAATACAAATTTTAGAAATTGCATCGTTTGTCTCGATCTGAAAATAAAGGTATCCGATCATGCTATATATTGTAATAAATATGATCATCACTATTTCATCGATGGACATAATGTTAAAATTCCTCTTCGTTGGATGGCATGGGAAGCAGTTTTATTGGTAAATATTATTTAGCGTTTCTTACTTTCTTCCTATTTCTTTTTTAATATTATGAATATAATATATATGTGAGTACCTTTCGTGTTCTTTAGATAGATATCTCCCTAAATTTTATATATTGCAACCATTTTCTTTTTCTTCTGTTTCTCAGGGTAAACGTAGTTGCCGTGCCGACGTTTGGTCATTTGCTGTAACAATTTGGGAAATTTTTCGAAATTGTAAAGAAATACCATATGCAGATTTAACAGTCGCACAGGTTTTAGAAAACTATGGTCATTGGTATCAAAAAGAAACGTGCATAAATAAGGAACATGATGATAACAATGATAAAAGAAATCAACCTCGAATTCCTTCACAGTCTGATCATTGTCCGGATAATCTTTATCGTATAATGAAAAAATGTTGGAGTACGCGAGTTGAAGAGAGACCCAGTTTCGAGGAAATTCATCTGTATCTCGAGAAATTAGCCTTCGATTGAATGTTCCAGGTACTTATGATTGAGTAGTACGGACCAAACGATTACAATCAGCCAAGAAGCATCCTGTATGTAAATTTCAGTTTTTTATTTTTCTTCTGCTTCGTTCATTTTTTTATTGATATATTCCTAATATAGCTTATATCAAAAATATATTATATCGTAAAACTAGTCCTTTTCATTAAAAACATCAGGATGCTCTGGCCATTAACTTTTAATGCTCAATTAGGTTTATGTATGAATCAACTTTGCGCATATATATATGTATAAAAATACATAATGTACATGCAAGAGAGAGAGAGAGAGAGAGAGAGAGAGAGAGAGAGAGAGAGAGAGAGAAAGTAGTAGTATAT